TGGTGCAACTTGATATTCGATGAATGCTCCATAAAGTGTAACTCGTTCTGGCCCTTGAATTTTCAGTACAACTTGATAATTTTCATCAGATGTTTGTACAACTTGTTCTGCTGTTGTACTTGAAATCAAAACCTCTTCTCCATTTGGATAAATTCTGTAGGCTGGTAGACCAAAAGTATTGCTTATTGTGACTGTAAATGGTTGTTTCAAATTTGTATAATTTGCTGCTTCAATATTGACTGTCAAATTGTACATTGGATAATTCCAAAACAAACTTACATTTGAACAATCGTAGAATGGTGTGTCAGAGATACTGAGGAAACTATTGTTGCATTTGAAATCCATGGACAAATGACCATAACATGGAAATTCGGGTCCACTCGTCCAATATCTTGGTTTACAGTTGAATTCGTTGGATTCAAGATCGTCTCCAACGACAACATTTGCAACAGCAAGAAGCAGGACTACAACGATGAATCGAAGCATGTTTTAGTGTTACAGATTAGAATGCTTTTTCAAACGTTTCACGTTCTTTTGATATCGTTTTTCAAAAGAGAACTAATTAAATAGGGTTTAGATATAACCTTGAATGATTGATATCAAAGTTTGATGCTAGTGGGTGTACTGGACTTGTGAGTGTGATAGAAAAGAGAACAAATTAAAAAGGCTTTAGATATAATCTAGAATGATTGATATCAAAGTGGGTGTGGGTGTGCTACGTGTGAAGATCATACACACACCACCACCCACCACCACACTCACATCCACACCCACATTCACACCCAACCCACACCCACACCCTCACACACACCCACACCCACACCCACACCCCACACCCCACACCCACACACCCACACCCCACGCCACACACCCACACCCCACCCACACCCCACACCCCACCCACACCCACACCGTTGAAATAATACTCGAAAATTACTGTTAATTTAAAGAAAATCAAAGAGAGAAAGGCATCGACTTTTTGGTTGGAACTTCAATGGTTGGAGAATAACCATGCGAGCTTGAGGGTGTGAGTGTGGGTATGAGGAAGAGCATATCCACACCCACACCCTGCACTCGCACTCACATCCACACACATCCTGACCAAACCCTCACGCTCGCCCACACACACACCCTCGCAGCCACCTATACCCTAGTTCTCCTCAGCTATCAAAAACCTTTGGCGTTTAAAGAGTTAACTCATTCAATCGCACACCCATACCTTCACCTACGGCCTGAAGTTTTTTGTTGGAAGTTTCCAACTTTTACCTTTTTTTCTTTAACTAAAGCAAATAGAAGAATAAAAAAACCCAGCCACTTTCCTTCTATACTTATGTATATATACCTATTCCATTCACTTCCCAGTTGATTTTGCCGCTGCTAAAACTTTCATCATTACTAAAAATCGTCGAGCAATTTTAGCATTAAATTAATCTGATGTCTGACCAAAACAAGAAGCCAACTTTGAATAATGACCCCGGTGATCGAGCTACCAGTAACTGGTTGGATAAAAAAAATGGGATGGGAAGGTGGATACAGAGAGGAAAGCTGTCCTCGTGGAATTATACATGGGTTATATCATGACCGTCAAGGTAATATACGCGAAAAACAAGGAGATCATGAAGGTGCAAAACTGGAGCGAGATCGTGCGCAACAGCAGTATGATAAATGTCGTAAATGATCAAAGACAGATGATTGGCTGACTGAAAAATTAAAAAAATAAACAAACAACGCTATCTATACAAAGGTTTTATTCTTACTTCTGCTTCGTTATGCTGTATTACTTTTATTCAAGTTCATAATAAAATCTACAGTCTTATACACTTGATTAATCTTTAAAACTGATATCCGGAAATAAATAAATTGCTTTGATTTCTGCTGATAGAGTTATCCTCGATCAAGTTCTTGTTTAAACGTGTGAACTACTGCATCTTTTCAGAGTCCATTGCTAGGTGGCAATGTTGATTAGCCCCGTCTGCTTGAGGGTGTGCGTTTGGATCTGGGTGTAGTCCACATCCACTCTCAAGTTGTTTTTATCAAACATAATCATTTTAACGGTGATAATCCTGTGTGTCATCTTGTCGATGACATACAGAACGCAAAAGAAACATTTTGCGCTCTGTCGTCGTTTTAGACGACGAACATCATCTGATGTGATTAAAGAGAAGAAAGGGAGACTTGCATTCTTATATCTAGCAATAATGATGCTAGATTTCAAACACAGGTGATAATGACGACAGAACGTACGAAAACGTCAGGATTACCAAGATTGTGAAAAACTACCGAAAAATTATCCAATCGAAAAGTTTAGGTGATGAAAAAAATTGTAACGATAAATAAGAGATTTACTGATATACCGGAGGAGTAGCTAGCTGTTACCCTCGGCAATGATATTTATTTAGCTACTTGACATCTCCAAAAGCTTATATCGGAAGAGAAATACAGAGAGAGATAATAAAGAGGAAAGAGAAAAATAAGATCAGTGCAGTTTGACATCAATAACGACATACAAATAATGTATATTTGCGCTATTTGTAATTACAAAAACAAAAATCACATTATTCACCAAATTTAAGTTTTAATAATTATAATTATATGTTCAAATTAACATTCAATTCTAAACATAATAAATCACATACTCATTTATACAACATTGTA